TGTAAACATTTGTGATACCCACATTCATGGGCACACACACGCACTCACACACCCTTACGGAGATCTTATCCAAATAGCAGAAAAACAGACAAAGAGAAAAACCTTGGTAAAAAAAAGTTTAAAAAGATAGAAATAATAAAAATAATAAAGAAAGAAAAAAGAAAAAGAGAAAAGCCTTGGAAAAAGTCAAAAGAAAAGAAAACTTACCTATAGAAACACAGGGATAAGAATTATAATTGACTTATCAGAAACCATGCAAGCAAGAAGAGAGTAGAATGTGCTATTTAAAGTGTTGTGGGGGAGGAATACCATCCTAGCGTGTCGTTGTGTGACCATCATAGAGTGTACTTATCCAAACCTAGGTGGTATAGCCTACTACACACCTATGTTACCTGGTATAGCCTATCGCTCCTAGGCTACACTACTGCCGAACTAGTGGCCGTCATTGACCAAAAAGTCGTTATGCGGTGCATGACTATATATGGTAAACAGTGGGAGCCGGGTTTCTCATTGTTTGAGTAGAATGTACCAGACCAAAAAGCTGAGGAGGTTACAATGATCTTTGTGGACCCAGATTTGAGTATGAGACTTCAGTACAAAAGTATGTCTTCATGTTCAACCTAATATAAATACGTATGGTTGCACTTACACATATTTACGGATATGTGCATGTACACAGGTTAATACACACACACACACACACACGCACACACACACACAGAGAGACACACACAGACACACACACACGCACACACACACACAGACACACACAGACACAGACACACAGACACACACACATAGACACACACGCACACACACAGACACACACACATAGACACACACGCACACACACACACACACACACACACACACACACACACACACACACATAATTTCTCTGTCAGCTGAGAGGGCGTAGGAACAATGACATCCTGGGAGCCATTATCGTACCTAGTTCCCATACCTACGTTTCTGATATCATGCTCTAACTAAAAGGAAAAACAGAAAACAGCGCTTCTGTGGAGAAATAGGTGATTCAAAGACTGTAGCAATAAATATACGAGATGAGACTAGAACATCTTGTAGTTTCAGAAAATAAGAGAATGCTCAAAAAAGTAAAAATAAAAACAATCCATGAGATGAGCATATCAAAGGGACACGGGAGGAAACTGAAAGAGCTCCCAATGGCCAAAGCTGGAACAATTTGAGCAATTCAATGAAATGATATTATATTTTAACCCAAAGCATAAAATACATAAGTATGAATCCATACTGAGATAAATAATTGAATAAATGGGGAAGAATAAAGAAAACTCCTGTGCGGAATGATCTCAAAGCATTTCTGTAAATACCCCCACCCAAACAGGTGAAGTGCAACTCTACTTAAGTGTGGGCCGCACCTAGTGCAGTCACTATACCGAAGAGGATGTCATACCGTGTACAGGCACATATGACATAAATGCACAGGAAATGAGGCCCACAATCATTTGTTATTAGGGAAATGCACCTAAAAACCACACATACACAAATCCACTGCACACTTATTAGAATAGCTAAAATTCAAAAAGCTGAAAATATGCAATCCAGAGAACTTGTGGAGAACCAGGAATATTCATTCATTGTGGACTGTAATGAAAAATGGTCTGGCTTCTTCAGAACATAAAATTCTGTGAATGTATTTATATAATATTTTGAAAAAAGGAACAACTACAAGTGCAGAAAAAGACCGTCGCTGACTATGAAGGGGACACACTGAGCAAGTTTAGGCTAATTGGAACTGTTCTGTATGATCCCTGGGTAATAAATATAGGACTCGATGCATTTATTAAAATGCCTACAACTTTACATAAGAGTGAACTTTGAGGTATGCAATTTAAAAAAAAAAAAAATCAACCAGGGATTGGATTTTTAAATGAATCACCGGCTGCTGAGAGAAGAATGACTTTTACTGGGGTAAATGTGGAAAGAGAAGCACCAGTGAAGGGGCTCTTGCCATAGTCTATGTGACAGATGATACCATTCATCGCCCACAGAGGTAGTAATCTAGACGGACTGATGTGAACAGATGTGGAATGGACATCAGCAGTTGAGGGCATTGGAGCTGCAGATGGATCGGATGTGGGTTGAGGGAAAGAGAGGCATCAAGCATGCCAAAAAGTGTGCTGCCTTTGATAGTAACAAAAGGCAAATCAAGCTATGATTTATTTTTTTCCTCAGGGAGGACAGGGGCTTGTTCTGAGGTGACAGGACTCAAACACACACAGGGAAGCAGCCCAGGCAGTGCCGGGAGTCAAGGTGAGAACTCTTAGGAAGGAGACACATACGGGACCTTGCACGCCTGCCAGTGCCCCGCCCTGCGCTGCCTCGTGGGCCTGCACGTGCCCCTGCGCTCAGCCCCGGAAGGCCCCGAGCAGGGCCCCGGATGTGCCGTTTGCCGACCTCCATCTTGGAAGGCCCGCATAGCCGAGCTTTCGTCTGAGGGGGTTCGCGGCAGCTCAGCAGGAGGAGGCGTCCCAGGCCCGTGGTCAGGTGAGGCTTCTGCGGAAGGGCTGGGGAACCTCCCACGGCACAGAGAGGAGCCCCTGCCCCGCCTGTCCGTGCTTAGGTCCCGCAGGGCCCAGGCAGGGCCGTGGGCTTCCTTGTCCAGGGTGTCAGGGGCCGGGAACCTCGGCCTGAGGGGCGCAGCCTCGCGTGAGCGGAAGGGAGAAGGGTAGGAACACATAGGAGGACTTGGAGGAGGGCTGAGGGTCCCCCCAGGTCAGAGCAAGGTGAGATTCCCGCAGTCGCACGCTGCTCCTCCCATGAGCCCTCGCATGTCTCGTCCCGTCCTGTCAGGCTGAGCCGCCCCCTCTCACTTCCGTCTTGGGGGTGTCAGGGAGGGGAGGGCCGTGATCTGAGGGGCTCACGACAAATTGGCAGAAGGAGCTCGGTCAGCTCATCGGAAGGACGAGTCCCTCGCCCTGCCAGACATCAGTGTGAGGACTGAGGGGACTAAGGAGTCCCATCTGCAGCAGAACAGATGTGCCACTAACCCCAGATACAGAGGGAGCCACAAAAACGTGAGTCAGCCATCAGCCCCGAGGAGACTCGGGTTGGGCAGCCAGGCACAGATGCAGGGGTGCCGGGGAAATCGTACCTTGGTGCGAGGAGTACTGGTAGATCCTGTGGTCAGCAGACGGTGGGAGCACCATCCCCGTCCTCCTTCGATTTCAGGCAGAGAGCGCCCGAGGCCTTCCCTGACGCTAGGGGGCACCACTGCCGGGTGGATGGATGTGGGGCACTCTCTCTTCCACCTCAGTGGTCTCAGGGAGGACAGGGGCTTGTTCTGAGGTGACAGGACTCATACACACACAGGGAAGCAGCCCAGGCAGTGCCGGGAGTCAAGGTCAGGACTCTTAGGAGGGAGGCACATACGGGACCTTGCACGCCTGCCAGTGCCCCGCCCTGCGCTCCCTCGTGGGCCTGCACGTGCCCCTACGCTCAGCCCCGGAAGGCCCCGAACAGGGCCCCGGATGTGCCGTTTGCCGACCTCCATCTTGGAAGGCCCGCATAGCCGAGCTTTCGTCTGAGGGGGGCCGCGGCAGCTCAGCAGGAGGAGGCGTCCCAGGCCCGTGGTCAGGTGAGGCTTCTGCGGAAGGGCTGGGGAACCTCGCCCGGCACAGAGAGGAGCCCCTGCCCCGCCTGTCCGTGCTTAGGTCCCGTAGG